CCTAAACCGTCAACCCTAAACCCTTTCTCACCTTTTCTCAAGAATGCCTGGCCCTCGGCGATTGCGGAGAGCAAGCTCCAAGCTACGTGTGAAACCCCTAGCTCGCAACTAAGGGAGAGCAATGTTCCGCCAAGCTCTCTGATGGCCTGCAATGGCCTGCCGCGGTAAGCTTCTCATCAAGAAGGCTTCAGTCTCATCCCAAAGTTCATGATTGAAACGCAGCGGAATGGAACTCACCTTGATGCAAAGAGTAGCCAAATGTGGTCTGCACTCCTGCAGTCTCCAAACACCTCCACCTTTTTTGGCCATGTCACGAAGATGACGCAGGAAATATCGCACCCAGGAAGCCGTGGGGACCTGAACGAGTCGCCCATTCCGTACTGTATCCAAGTCGCGCCACTCCTTGTCTCGAAAAACTGGAGGATGTCGGAACCTCAAGCAAAAGCTAAAGAAAAGTTGAACAGAACAGATCCAACGCACCGGGGCAGCTTCATCGACCAAAAGGGTTGACCAAGCAACAAGGTCCTGCACGTATGCTCGTCCGTACTTCTGTGCCAAACTTCGCTCGTCGGCTTCGCTCAAAACGCCCAGCGATCCCGTCCAGTCCGGTGGTGGCAAGGGCTGCAAGTCCATGTTCGTGCGGTTCACCCGGCTCCGAGTTGCCAGGTGCCCCACACGTACATGGAGTGCAACCACTTCCCCGGCCAAGAAACGCTCCCTCTCCCAGCTCTGACAAAGTTGAGTCCAGTTGTTCCAAAAAACCTCGCCTCGTGCATTCTGAGCTCTTTCCGCAGCCCGATCCACCAGGTTGTTGTAACAGGCACACCATTCGTCCCCAACTCCTGGCTCAAGATCCGGTTCCAAATGCGCTGTGACTTTGCAAACAACACAGAAGCGTGCCAGTGTCTCTTGGTGCGGAATCAAGATTTTCCAGAGGTCCGAATGTCTAGTGCGTTCACCGGGCACCCAGGACCCTTCCAAGAACCTACGAACCCTACGAACCACACCCAGGCAGTCGGACCACACCCAAACCCTGCGGCGCACCGAAACACAGAAGAGAATAGCGGAGATCACGGCACGACTGAGGCAAACCCGGAACTAAACCATCTGAAAGCAAAGTAGGCGCCCCGAAGCTTCCTGGCCAAGCAATCAAGGTCGCCCACGAGGCCAGTCTAAGATGAGGCACCTCCGGGCGCAAACAGCTCCCGTCCACGAAGACATGATACTCGGGGAGGAGCGGAAATGGATGGAAAGATTGAAATGTAATTGGCAAGCGAGAGAACGCCTCTCTGAAAGTATGCAAGAAATCAGGGCTGCGTGCCCATCCGTGCAACAATTGGCAAAGTGGCAGAGACTCCAGGTCTGCAGTAGTGATGTTACAACCGCGCCTGCATTCCCCAAAGTGAGGACATTCCATCAAACGGTGACGGATGGAGTCCGTCTGGCCGCAAAAGTCGCATGTGGACTGATCAGCCTGCCTGCATGCCTCAAAGCATTGTTGGTAAAGAAAATTCCATTCAAAGAAAGTCTCGAACAAGTGCCCGGGCAGGTTTTGGCAACGTATTGAGAACAACCGTTGTCAAGTGGGGGTCGGCACCCTCCAAGCCCTCGACAGTAGGCCTCTGCGCGAAAATCTGTTTCACCCGATCCTGCCAAGTGAAAAGAAGACGCTGCAAGATTTCCGGCCACGACAGAGCCCACACGTCCATCGGCCCCAGGGAGTCAACAAAAGTCTCTTTGGCCGGATCCCATGCAATTCCAACCTCATTGGCCCTCTGAAGCAGGATTGTGCACGGACCAGGCACCTTTCGCAAATCCAGTGCAGCAGCGGTCAGCAGAGGTGCAATCGCCTCGTGCCCGGCCAGGAACTTCGCATCCCTGAATGTGGACTGGAGAGCAAAGAATTGTGGATCACTGATAGCGTGACCCACCAATGAAAGCTGGATGGTGGGATTCGCGCCAGGTGCACGCAATCCAAGGGCCTTCATGGCGTCGGATCGCAACTTGATGAAGTGCCGCTCCCCCAGTGGGGAGGCACTGATGCCGTGGAGGGCAGCATGCTGCAGTGCTCAAGGCTCGAACTTTATGGAGGAACGGGCTCAGAGATGCTTCCAGACGGGGCCACTTTTCGTCAAGAGCCCTGATCCTGTCTGTCTGCGTAAAATTGGTTCCCCTGCGCGAGGATGCAAGGTGGGCTCCCAATTCCCGGAAGTCAAGAGTGACTGGGAAACCTGCTTGTCGAAGGGCAGCCCTTCCCTTGGCACTTGTGCACCAGACCACAGTCTTATCCGAGTTGACGAACAAGTCCCATGCGCGTGCAAAATCCGCTATGGCTTGGTGAGCAGAAACGAGGTCTTCCGGCGAGGAGGCCAAAGCCCGCCAATTATCCACAAAGGACAACAGCTGGCCATGGTTTGTGACACTCCGGAAATTGTGGTGGCATGCTATGTTCAGGACCGCCATGGCCAAGCAGCTTAGGGGGTCCCCCTCCGCGAACCCCGTAGAAGAAAGGAGCGGGGGTCCCGTACTTCCCTGAACCTTGAAGTGTCGCCTGAGTTGGGTCAACATGGAGATCCATGGGTGGAGAATGGAATCAGGAATGCCACACATCTTTGCGAAAGCTGCGACAGGCAAGCGAGGCAACATGTTGTATGCCTTCACCAGATCCACGGCGACTCCACAAAGCTCCGTACCCTGCCTGTAGGCATTCTCAATTTGGAGAAGAATGAATACCATGAATCCGAAGCACCCGCCCCCGGCAGGTTGCCCAACAACCCTGGTGGCGCAAACTGTGCAATGTGGTGCAATGCTTCCTTGCACCGCAAAGACAACCCTAAACCCTAAACCCTAAACCTCAACCCTTCCCAAACAAAACACAAAGGCTGGGCCTCCTCAAAGCTGCAGTGCCAAGGCTGCAAGAATGCGGTGATGAGCCTCGAGCTTCCATACTGCATAGGTTTTAGGGGTTTAGGGTTTAGGTTTTAGGGCTTAGGGTTTGGGATTATTATTGCAGGTTTGAAAGGTTTGGGTTTAGGATTTAGGGTTTAGGGTTTAGGGTTTAGGGTTTCAAGGTTTGGGGTCAGGCGTATAGGGTCTAGGGTCTGTGGTTGGGGGTTGAGGGATGCGGGTTTAGGGTTCCGGGTGCTCAAACCGACAAGTCAGATTCACAGCAACATCTGTCACGGAGCTTCCAAAAGTAGGGGGTCCCCATAACATGGGGTTATACGATTTTGTGGAGATACAACCCGAAGCCCTAAACCCTGTTTGGGAAATATCCATTCACCTCATGGAATACCGAGCTCACAACACTGGTAGTCGAACTTGGAGCTCGCACTTTTCTGCCTTAGATGTAGCGCTTAGCGTTGAGGATTTAGGGTTTAGGGTTTGGGGCTGTAGGGTTCAGGGTTGGGAGTTTGGGGGGAGAATGACGTAGAAGGACGCCTTTGCCTCCTTACCTTTCTAGGCGGCTTATACGAGCCCTGCATGGGGATACCTTCCTGGCCACTACCCACCAAGAACTGTTCTTGATGTTTGGTATAGCAGAATGAGGCCCCTGGCCCTAACACTAGACCCCAAACCCTAAAGTCCCTAAACCGTAAACCAGATGGGCGACACGGTGGCCCGATGCTTCAGATCCATCATTCGGCACAGGAGATAGGTTCACCTGGCTCCGGTTCTGCGGATAACCCCCTGCGCTTCAGGGGGAGTGGGGTAGTGAATTAAGGAATTAAATTATTGCAGGAGTATATGTGGGATTGTATAGTGGTAGTTTTTGGGATACACTCCCGCACTCTCCATGAAAAGCCAGCAAGACACCGATGCATAGATGGATGTGTCCCTGCCTGCAGGGTTAGCGATGGCGGCTGGCACAAGACCTGCGAGGATGACAGAGAGCAAGGTAACACGTCAGGCTAGGCTTAATGCTTCTGCATGGAAGCACAAGACATGACGGAAAGAAGGATGCAGATTCAAAAACAGACACGGAGAGCCAGAGGGAAAGAGGGATCTTGAGGGACGAAGGGAAGGAGGGAAGGAGGGAAACCCTAAACCCTAAACCCGAAACCCTAAAACCTAAAACCTAAACCCTAAAACCTAAACCCTAAACCCTAAAACCTAAAACCTAAACCCTAAAACCTAAACCCTAAACCCAAAACCCTAAACCCTAAAACCGAAACCCGAAACCCAAAA